ACCACCTCCACCACCACTACCACCACCTCCACCACCACCATCACCACCACCACCTCCACCACCTCCACCACCACCACCTCCACCACCACCACCTCCACCACCACCTCCACCACCTCCACCACCACCACCACCACCTCCAACACCTCCACCACCACCTCCACCACCACCACCACCACCATCTCCACCACCACCACCTCCACCACCATCACCACCACCACCTCCACCACCATCACCACCACCACCACCTCCACCACCACCACCACCACCTCCACCACCACCACCACCACCTTCACCACCACCACCTCCACCACCACCACCTCCTCCTCCACCACCTCCACCATCACCTCCACCACCACCATCACCACCACCACCTCCACCACCACCATCAGCGGCGTTTGGTTTCGGTGCTAGCAGTGGCGAAATTAAAAAAATAAAAATCAACTCTCGGCGGGCTTTGGCGTTCAGTTTCTCATCAGCAGTCGAGTCGGACACCCGTGGCTAACACAGATAGGGTGGTGGGAGGGGTTGGTTTCTTTTTTTGCCCATCAACATCTGGGCCAGCTGATCAGCATCGTTTCAGACAAAGCCTGGCTGCTGATGATGCTGCTGATGAGACATTGAAAGTGGGAACCCGCTCTTTTGCCCATCAACATCTGGGCCAGTTAATGAGCATTATTTCAGACAAAGCCTGGCTGCTGATGATGCTGATGATGCTGCTGCTGATGATGCTGCTGCTGATGATGATGCTGCTGATGAGACATTGAAAGTGGAAACCCGCTCTTTTGCCCATCAACATCTGGGCCAGTTGATCAGCATTGTTTCAGACAAAGCCTGGCTGCTGATGATGCTGATGATGCTGCTGCTGATGATGCTGCTGATGAGACATTGAAAGTGGGAACCCACTCTTCTGCCCATCAACATCTGGGCCAGTTAATGAGCATTATTTCAGACAAAGCCTGGCTGCTGATGATGCTGATGATGCTGCTGCTGATGCTGCTGCTGATGATGCTGCTGATGAGACATTGAAAGTGGAAACCTGCTCTTTTGCCCATCAACATCTGGGCCAGTTGATGAGCATTATTTCAGACAAAGCCTGGCTGCTGATGATGCTGATGATGCTGCTGCTGATGATGCTGCTGATGAGACATTGAAAGTGGGAACTCGCTCTTTGCCCATCAACATCTGGGCCAGTTGATCAGCATTGTTTCAGACTAAGCCTGCCGCTGATGCTGCTGATGAGACATTGAAAGTGGAAACCCGCTCTTTTGCCCATCAACATCTGGGCCAGTTGATCAGCATTGTTTCAGACAAAGCCTGGCTGCTGATGATGCTGATGATGCTGCTGCTGATGATGCTGCTGATGAGACATTGAAAGTGGGAACCCACTCTTCTGCCCATCAACATCTGGGCCAGTTAATGAGCATTATTTCAGACAAAGCCTGGCTGCTGATGATGCTGATGATGCTGCTGCTGATGCTGCTGCTGATGATGCTGCTGATGAGACATTGAAAGTGGAAACCTGCTCTTTTGCCCATCAACATCTGGGCCAGTTGATGAGCATTATTTCAGACAAAGCCTGGCTGCTGATGATGCTGATGATGCTGCTGCTGATGATGCTGCTGATGAGACATTGAAAGTGGGAACTCGCTCTTTGCCCATCAACATCTGGGCCAGTTGATCAGCATTGTTTCAGACTAAGCCTGCCGCTGATGCTGCTGATGAGACATTGAAAGTTGAAACCCGCTCTTTTGCCCATCAACATCTGGGCCAGTTGATCAGCATTGTTTCAGACTAAGCCTGCCGCTGATGCTGCTGATGATGCTGCTGCTGATGATGCTGCTGATGAGACATTGAAAGTTGAAACCCGCTCTTTTGCCCATCAACATCTGGGCCAGTTAATGAGCATTATTTCAGACAAAGCCTGGCTGCTGATGATGCTGCTGATGATGCTGCTGCTGATGATGCTGCTGATGAGACATTGAAAGTGGGAACCCACTCTTTTGCCCATCAACATCTGGGCCAGTTGATGAGCATTATTTCAAAGCCTGGCTGCTGATGATGCTGATGATGCTGCTGCCGCTGATGCTGCTGCTGATGAGATACTGAAAGTGGAAACCAATCCAGAGTTTGAACGGGATCGATGATGGCTGATGGGTGGTTGCGTAGTAAAAACAAAAGCATGCTCACTAAATTAAATGTCGGGTGGTGGTGTTGTTGTTGTTGTGTTTGTGTGTGTGGAGAGGGGAGAGAGGGGGGCGATGGAATCGGCAAATTCCTCAGAACCCCCCTCCTCCTCCCTCTGCCGGTGGACTCTTCCAAAATGAAATGGCCTGAACCAACTCAACGAAATGGACCGTACCACTGGACAAACGTGTGGTGGTGGGGGGGGTTAATAAAAGATTGAATTAAAGTTTATACAGGACTGTACCAAGTAGATCCACCCCCCACCCCGCTCCCACCTCGTCTGAAATGGACTGTGCCACTTTTTTTGAGAATAGGGGGGTTCCGTGGGGGGGGGGGGGGGGGGTGGTGGGTGGGTGGATAAAAAAACCACCACCTACTATAAACATTAACTTATACACCAGCGTTCTACCAAGTGATCTCTAACTGCCCACCACCCACCCCCCCTCATTTGAGGGTGGGACAATGGACTGGCCCAGTTGAGGGCAGACACTGAAATGGATCGTACCACTTTTTCAATGCGTGGGAGGGGGTAATCGGCAAATTCCTCAGAACCCCCCTCCTCCTCCCTCTGCCGGTGGACTCTTCCAAAATGAAATGGCCTGAACCAACTCAACGAAATGGATCGTACCACTGGACAAACGTGTGGTGGTGGTGGGGGGGGTTAATAAAAGATTGAATTTAAGTTTATACAGGACTGTACCAAGTAGATCCACCCCCCACCCCGCTCCCACCTCGTCTGAAATGGACTGTGCCACTTTTTTTTGACAATAGGGGGGTTCCATGGGAGGGGGGTGGTGGGTGGGTGGGTGGATAAAAAAAACCAGCACCTGCTATAAACATTAATTTATACACCAGGGTTCTACCAAGTGATCTCTAACTGCCCACCACCCCTCATGAGGGTGGGACAATGGACTGGCCCCAGTTGAGGCCAGACACTGAAATGGATCGTACCACTTTTTCAATGGGGTGGGAGGGGGTAATTGGCAAATTCCTCAGAACCCCCCTCCTCCTCCCTCTGCCGGTGGACTCTTCCAAAATGAAATGGCCTGAACCAACTCAACGAAATGGACCGTACCACTGGACAAACGTGTGGTGGTGGGGGGTTAATAAAAGATTGAATTAAAGTTTATACAGGACTGTACCAAGTAGATCCACCCCCCACCCCGCTCCCACCTCGCCTGAAATGGACTGTGCCACTTTTTTTTGACAATAGGGGGGTTCCATGGGAGGGGGGGTGGTGGGTGGGTGGGTGGATAAAAAAAACCAGCACCTGCTATAAACATTAATTTATACACCAGGGTTCTACCAAGTGATCTCTAACTGCCCACCATCCCTCATTTGAGGGTGGGACAATGGACTGGCCCAGTTGAGGCCAGACACTGAAATGGATCGTACCACTTTTTCAATGGGGTGGGAGGGGGTAATTGGCAAATTCCTCAGAACCCCCCTCCTCCTCCCTCTGCCAATGGACTCTTCCAAAATGAAATGGCCTGAACCAACTCAACGAAATGGACCGTACCACTGGACAAACGTGTGGTGGTGGGGGGGGGGTGGTTAATCAAAGATTGAATTAAAGTTTATACAGGACTGTACCAAGTAGATCCACCCCCCACCCCGCTCCCACCTCGTCTGAAATGGACTGTGCCACTTTTTTTTGACAATGGGGGGTTCCATGGGAGGGGGGGTGGTGGGTGGGTGGGTGGGTGGATAAAAAAAAACCACCACCTACTATAAACATTAATTTATACACCAGGGTTCTACCAAGTGATCTCTAACTGCCCACCACCCACCCCCCCTCATGAGGGTGGGACAATGGACTGGCCCCAGTTGAGGCCAGACACTGAAATGGATCGTACCACTTTTTCAATGGGGTGGGAGGGGGTAAAATAAAATTTAAAAAAATAATAAAAAAAATCGCATCAACTATTCGTTCAACACGACCTTAGTGGGACCGTCCATAAATGACGTCACACGGCGTCGCAAAAAGTCAGACCAACAGCCCTCAAATATGACGTCACGAAGCTCTGCCCCCCACCCACCCCCCCCAAAAAAAAAATTTTTTTGTAAAAAAAAATTTCCCACTCTGATAACAAATCGCTTTAAGCCATCGCCGCCGTAGTGCGAATTGAATGTGGCTCCGGACACCCTTATGTTGAGAAGGAGTGTTTTTTTTTATATATATAACAATTTAGGCGTCTAAAAATTTTAGGATTTAAAGCTTTCGTGACTGCAGTAATTCATATTCTTAGTTTTTTTTCGGTAAAGTCACCACCACGTTGAAGGGAAACAACAAAATAATAAAATATATATAAAACAATAAAAAAACATTCTCACGACGTTTCGACCATAACTCAAACGGTCGTCTTTCAGGTGTGTTGGTTTGCATAAATTTTTTTTTTTAAACGGCGCATTTATTTATTTATTTATTTTAAAAAACGTTAGCGCCACGCGCAACGATTTGGCAGTTTATTTAGGACTAGTCCATCTATATTCTGAAAAGAGGAGGGGGGGAGACGAATTTTTTTAAATAAATAAATAAATGCGCCGTTTAAAAATAAATTTATGCAAACCAACACACCTGAAAGACGACCGTTTGAGTTATGGTCGAAACGTCGTGAGAATGTTTTTTTTTTATTGTTTTATATATATTTATATATTATTTTGTTGTTTCCCTTCAACGTGGTGGTGACTTTAACCGAAAAAAAAAAACTAAGAATACGAATTACCGCAGTCACGAAAGCTTTAAATCAAAATTTAATTCTGCGTGTATTTAAAGTTGCCCGTTTTTTGATGTGACGTCACACCTCTCAAACACCCCCCACCCCCACCCCCCCTCCCCGTGTGCCCCCCCTACAGGTGCGTGACGTCATTTATGGACGGGCACAACCGCCCCGTTACCAAGAAAGTTGGTTACCAAAGCAACGGCGCAGGGCAGGAAACCGACGGAAATGGACCGTACCATTCTCTCAGGGATGCGTGGGGGTGGAGTGGGAAATAATAATAATAATACAAAAAAAACTTGCATTGACTGTTCACATAGCAGGACCGTACCAAGTAAAAGCAAACCCCCCCTAATCCCACACCCCACACCCCACAACTCCCCTCGCCTCCCCCCCCCTCCTATTCGGGGATGGATATTGGACCAGCCCGGATAAGGCAGACACTGAAATGGACTGCACCAACTTCTCTCAAAAATAGGGGTGACGAACTTGCATTGAATGTTGACGTAGCAGGACCATACCAAGTAAAGTTCAACACCCCCCGCCCGCCCCCACAACGCCCCCATTACCTAGTGGGCAATTGACCGGCCCCACCCAGAAAGGTCAAACTTAGTTGGACTGTACCATTGCACTACAACGGAGAAGGGGGGGGAGGGGGTGGGTGGGGGTGGGTGGGACGAAGTTGATGTTGATGGCCCCACTCTGCTTGAGGCTTCTACGGATGCTGCCAACTCCTGCGAAGGTTAAAGGTGGACATAAAGTCAAGGGTCAAAGGTCGACGTTCATGTTAATAATTACGCTCAATTTAGACGATAACTTTAGTGGAAATTGGCGCCGTGGGTGGGTGGGTGGGGTTCACGGTGGCCGTGTGGGTGGGTGGGTGGGGTTCACGGTGGCCGTGTGGGTGGGTGGGTGGGGTTCACGGTGGCCGTGTGGGTGGGTGGGTGGGGTTCACAGTGGCCGTGTGGGTGGGTGGGTGGGGTTCACGGTGGCCGTGTGGGTGGGTGGGTGGGGTTCACGGTGGCCGTGTGGGTGGGTGGGGTTCACGGTGGCCGTGTGGGTGGGTGGGTGGGGTTCACAGTGGCCGTGTGGGTGGGTGGGGTTCACGGTGGCCGTGTGGGTGGGTGGGGTTCACGGTGGCCGTGTGGGTGGGTGGGTGGGTGAGTGGGTGGGTGGGGGTGTGTGTGGGTGGGTGTGTGGGTGGGGGTGTGGGTGGGGGTGTGGGTGGGGGTGTGGGTGTGGGTTGGGGTGTGGGTGGGTGGGTGGGGGTGTGGGTGGGTGGGTGGGGGTGTGGGTGGGTGGGTGGGGGTGTGGGTGGGTGTGTGGGTGGGTGTGGGTGGGTGGGTGTGTGGGTGGGTGTGGGTGGGTGGGTGTGTGGGTGGGTGTGTGTGTGGGGGTGTGTGTGGGTGGGTGTGGGTGGGGGCTCACGTGGGGGGGGTGGAGTGGCCTGGAGGTGATTGTGATGCCTCTTCTGCTGCCGACTGTTGATGTTGTTGATGTTGTTGTTGATGTTGTTGTTGATGTTGTTGATGTTGTTGTTGATGTTGATGTTGTTGATGTTGTTGATGTTGATGTTGCTGATGTTGTTGATGTTGATGTTGCTGATGTTGCTGATGTTGTTGATGTTGTTGATGGCTTCCTGTGGGGAGAGAGACAAAGACGGACGTGGAAGCGGACTGTCAACGCCACCTCCCGAGCCCCGTTTGACCATACTTCACCAACCTGGTCTTTGTGCTTGTGTTCGTGTACGTGCGTGCGTGTGTGTGTGTACGTGTGTTCGTGTACGTACGTGTGTGTGTGTACGTACGTGTGTGTGTACGTGCGTGTGTGTGTGTACGTGTGTGTCTACGTGTGTGTGCGTGTGTGCGTGTACGTGTGTACGTGTGTGTGTGTACGTGCGTGTGTGTGTACGTGTGTGTGTACGTGTGTTCGTGTACGTGCGTGTGTGTATGTGTGCGTGTACGTGTGTACGTGTGTGTGTACGTGTGTGTGTACGTGTGTACGTGTGTGTACGTGTGTGTGTGTACGTGTGTGTGTGGGTACGTGTGTGTGTGTACGTGTGTGTGTACGTGCGTGCGTGTGTGTATTCGTGTGTGTGTGTGTACGTGTGTGTATGTATGTGTGTGTGTGTACGTGTGTGTATGTACGTGTGTGTACGTGTATGTGTGTTCGTGTGTGTGTACGTGCGTGTGTGTGTACGTGTGTGTGTACGTGTGTGTGTACGTGTGTGTGTGTACGTGTGTGTGTACGTGCGTATGTGTGTACGTGCGTACGTGTGTACGTGTGTGTGTGTGTACGTGCGTGTGTGTGTACGTGTGTGTGTACGTGTGTGTGTACGTGCGTACGTGTGTACGTGTGTGTATGTACGTGCGTGTGTGTGTACGTGCGTGTGTACGTGCGTGTGTACGTGTGTGTGTGTGTATGTGTGTGTGTACGTGTGTACGTGTGTGTGTACGTGCGTGTGTGTGTACGTGTGTGTGTACGTGTGTGTGTGTGTGTTCGATTCCCGCTCACGGCCAACACCAGTGACGATTATCTGAACCGGTCCCGGGCCTCCCCTAGGTCGACTCAGCCTCAAATGAGTACCTGGTGCGGTGTGTAAACATCGCCACTAGGGAGACAAAGGCGGTCGGGCGTGGTGCTGGCCACCCACCCCCTCGTGTACCGTTCCGGCCTTCATAGGTGCTCGCTAACAGCACTTGCCCCTACAGTCTGTTACAGGCTATATGGGGGATCTTTGTCTTTGTCTTTGTGTGTGTGTGTACGTGTGTTCGTGTACGTGCGTGCGTACGTGTGTACGTGCGTACGTGTGTACGTGCCTACGTGTGTACGTGTATGTGTGTTCGTGTGTGTGTGTGTGTACGTGTGTGTGTGTGTACATTTGGTAATAGCTGCTCATTCAGAGGAGGAGTTGGAGACGCTGCTGCTGAGACTGGAGCGTGCCACTAAGAGGTGGGGCCTTACCATCAGCCCCACCAAAACTAGGCACCTGCCTGGGCATTTTGTACCATCGGACACTCCATCCCCACAACTCCCAATCGGTGATGGGGCAGTTGTGGAGAGAGTGGAGAGTTTCCCATACCTGGGCAGTGTGCTTATGACCGGCTCCAGTTTAACAGCAGAGGTCTCACTCTGAATCAGTCGAGCGGCAATATCTTTTCATCGGTTGCGTAACACTGTGTGGAAGCTACCTGGTCTGTCGCTCCGCACTAAGCTTCAGGTCTTCTCGGCCACGGTCATTCCCTCCCCTTCTCTACGCTTGCGAAACGTGGACCCCCCTAATGGAACATCTTCGCCGGTTAGAAACATTTAGGCTGGCCTGCCTACGATCCATCCTGGGTTTATCCAGGCTGGATTGTGTGAGGAGCTCACAAATCCTTGAAAGATCTGGGCAAAGTCCCATCGGTGAGCTCCTCTGCAGGCAAGGCTGCGTTGGCTGGGTCATGTAGCCCGCATGCCCAGCCACCGCATGCCGAAACAGCTTTTGTTCGTCCGGATCGAGGGGGCTAAGTGGGCGCGGCACGGGCTAGAGAAGAGATGGAGTGATGTGGTACAGGAGGACGTGGAGCTGAGTGGACTTGCCGATGACTGGTACCAGCGGTGTCAAGATCGGCCTCTGTGGAGGAGGCTCGTGAAGGATGCTACTGGGCAGTCGGAGGCAGTCGCCCTCCAACAACAACAACGGAGGGCGGAGGAGCGACGCTCACAACAACGAGCGGAGCGCCGGGTAAAGCACAGCAGGTTGGCACAGTAGGGGGCACAGGTGGTGCATCAGCCAGTCATCTCAGTCAGTCGACCCGTGGCACCTGCTGGGTCTGCCCCGTGACCTCCTGCCCGCGGGCGTTCGACACTTCACGTGGCCTCAAGGTGCACATGGCCTGGCACAAGCGTCGTGGTGACGTTACCGCCACTTAGAGGTGAATGGCGGTTGTTGTTATTGTTGTTGTATGAGTTTGGCAAAAAGAAGTCACCCCCTGTGAGTGGCTGGCTGAGGTGCCATCTGTTGAGGAAGTGCTGAAGGCGATCCGGAGTCTGAGGCCAGGAAAGGCACCGGGCAGAGATGATCTCCCAAGCGAAATGCTGAGGGAGGGCGGCGTTTGTGCACAGACTGCCCTATATGACATCATAACAACAGTCTGGACCACTGGACGGGTTCCGCAGGATTGGAAGGATGCCCTGGTGGTCCCCCTTTTTAAGAAGGGGGACCACACAGACTGTAACAACTACAGGGGCATTTCACTCCTCAGTGTGCCGGGAAAGGTCCTGGCAAGGATTATTTAACATCGCTTTGCCAGGCACGCTGAGGAGAGGCTTGCGGAGCCCCAATGCGGTTTCAGGAAAGGGCGGTCCTGCACAGATTGCATATTTGGTGAGTGAGTGAGTGAGCGGTGAGTGAGTGGTGAGTGAGTGAGTGGTGCATGGTGAGTGAGCGGTGAGTGAGTGGTGCGTGGTGAGTGAGCAGTGAGTGAGCGGTGAGTGAGTGGTGAGCGGTGTGTGAGTGGTGAGCGGTGAGTGAGCGGTGAGCGGTGAGTGAGCGGTGAGTGGTGAGTGAGTGGTGAGTGAGTGGTGAGTGAGTGAGTGGTGAGTGAGTGAGTGGGTGAGTGAGTGGTGAGTGAGAGAGTGGGTGAGTGAGTGAGTGGGTGAGTGAGTGGGTGAGTGGGTGAGTGAGTGGGTGAGTGAGTGGGTGAGTAGGTGAGTGAGTGGGTGAGTGAGTGAGTGAGTGGGTGAGTGAGTGGGTGAGTGAGTGAGTGGGTGAGTGGGAGGGTGAGTGAGTGAGTGGGTGAGTAAGCGGTAAGTGAGCGGTGAGTGGTGAGTGGGTGAGTGAGTGAGTGAGTGAATGAGTGGGTGAGTGAATGAGTGGGTGAGTGAGTGAGTGTATGAGTGAGTGAGTGTATGAGTGAGTGAGTGTATGAGTGAGTGAGTGTATGAGTGAGTGTATGAGTGAGTGTATGAGTGAGTGAGTGGTGAGTGAGCGGTGAGTGTATGAGTGAGTGAGTGAGTGTATGAGTGAGTGAGTGAGTGTATGAGTGAGTGAGTGAGTGTATGAGTGAGTGAGTGTATGAGTGAGTGTATGAGTGAGTGTATGAGTGTAACAGTGAGTGTAACAGTGAGTGTAACAGTAAGTGAGTGAGTGTATGAGTGTAACAGTGAGTGAGTGTATGAGTGAGTGTATGAGTGTATGAGTGAGTGAGTGTATGAGTGAGTGTATGAGTGAGTGAGTGTGTGAGTGAGTGTGTGAGTGAGTGTATGAGTGTAACAGTGAGTGTAACAGTGAGTGAGTGTATGAGTGTGTGTATGTGTGAGTGTATGAGTGTGTGTATGTGTGAGTGAGTGTAACAGTGAGTGTAACAGTGAGTGTAACAGTGAGTGAGTGTAACAGTGAGTGAGTGAGTGTATGAGTGAGTGAGTGTATGAGTGTATGAGTAAGTGAGTGTAACAGTGAGTGTAACAGTGAGTGAGTGTAACAGTGAGTGTAACAGTGAGTGAGTGAGTGTGACAGTGAGTGTATGAGTGAGTGTATGAGTGTAACAGTGAGTGTAACAGTGAGTGAGTGTAACAGTGAGTGAGTGTAACAGTGAGTGAGTGAGTGTATGAGTGAGTGTAACAGTGAGTGTATGAGTGAGTGTAACAGTGAGTGAGTGTATGAGTGAGTGTATGAGTGAGTGTAACAGTAAGTGAGTGTAACAGTGAGTGTAACAGTGAGTGAGTGTAACAGTGAGTGTAACAGTGAGTGTAACAGTGAGTGAGTGAGTGTAACAGTAAGTGTAACAGTGAGTGTAACAGTGAGTGGGTGTATGAGTGAGTGAGTGTAACAGTGAGTGTAACAGTGAGTCTAACAGTGAGTGAGTGTAACAGTGAGTGAGTATAACAGTGAGTGAGTGTACGAGTGAGTGTAAGAGTGAGTGTATGAGTGAGTGTAACAGTGAGTGTAACAGTGAGTGTAAGAGTGAATGTAAGAGTGAGTGAGTGTAACAGTGAGTGAGTGTAACAGTGACTGTAATAGTGAGTGAGTGTAACAGTGAGTGTAAGAGTGAGTGTACGAGTGAGTGAGTGAGTGTATGAGTGAGTGTATGAGTGTAACAGTGAGTGTAACAGTGAGTGAGTGTATGAGTGAGTGTAACAGTTAGTGAGTGAGTGTAACAGTGAGTGTAACAGTAAGTAAGTGTAACAGTGAGTGTAAGAGTGAGTGTAAGAGTGAGTATAACAGTGAGTGTAACAGTGAGTGTATGAGTGTAACAGTGAGTGTATGAGTGTAACAGTGAGTGTAACAGTGAGTGTAACAGTTAGTGTAACAGTGAGTGTAACAGTGAGTAAGTGTAACAGTGAGTGTAAAAGTGAGTGTAAGAGTGAGTGTAAGAGTGAGTGAGTGTAACAGTGAGTGTAACAGTGAGTAAGTGTAACACTGAGTGTAACAGTGAGTGTAAGAGTGAGTGAGTGTGTGAGTGTAACAGTGAGTGAGTGTAACAGTTAGTGAGTGAGTGTAACAGTGAGTGTTTGAGTGAGTGTAACAGTGAGTGTAACAGTGAGTGTATGAGTGTAACAGTGAGTGTATGAGTGTAACAGTGAGTGTAATAGTGAGTGTAACAGTGAGTGTAACAGTGAGTGAGTGTAACAGTGAGTGTAACAGTGAGTGTAACAGTGAGTGTATGAGTGAGTGTAACAGTTAGTGAGTGAGTGTAACAGTGAGTGTACGAGTGAGTGTAAGAGTGAGTGAGTGAGTGTATGAGTGAGTGTATGAGTGTAACAGTGAGTGTAACAGTGAGTGAGTGTATGAGTAAGTGTAACAGTGAGTGTAACAGTGTAACAGTGAGTGTAACAGTGAGTGTAACAGTGAGTGTAAGAGTGAGTGTACGAGTGAGTGAGTGTAACAGTGAGTAAGTGTAACAGTGAGTGTAACAGTGAGTGTAACAGTGAGTGTATGAGTGTAACAGTGAGTGTAACAGTGAGTGTAACAGTGTGTGAGTGTATGAGTGAGTGAGTGAGTGTAACAGTGAGTGTAACAGTGAGTGTAACAGTGAGTGAGTGAGTGTAACAGTGAGTGTAACAGTGAGTGTAACAGTGAGTGTAACAGTAAGTGTAACAGTGAGTGAGTGAGTGTAACAGTGAGTGTAAGAGTGAGTGTATGAGTGTAACAGTTAGTGTATGAGTGTAACAGTGAGTGTAACAGTAAGGGTAACAGTGAGTGAGTGAGTGTAACAGTGAGTGTAACAGTGAGTGTAAGAGTGAGTGTAACAGTGAGTGTAAGAGTGAGTGAGTGTATGAGTGAGTGAGTGTATGAGTGAGTGTATGAGTGAGTGTATGAGTAAGTGTATAAGTGTAACAGTGAGTGTAACAGTGAGTGTAAGAGTGAGTGTACGAGTGAGTGAGTGTAACAGTGAGTGAGTGAGTGTAACAGTGAGTAAGTGTAACAGTGAGTGTAACAGTGTGTGAGTGTATGAGTGAGTGAGTGTAACAGTGAGTGTAACAGTGAGTGAGTGTATGAGTAAGTGTAACAGTGAGTGTAAGAGTGAGTGTATGAGTGTAACAGTGAGTGTAACAGTGAGTGAGTGTATGAGTGAGTGTAACAGTTAGTGAGTGAGTGTAACAGTGAGTGTAAGAGTGAGTGTAACAGTGAGTGTAACAGTGAGTGAGTGAGTGTAAGAGTGAGTGTAACAGTGAGTGTAAGAGTGAGTGTAACAGTGAGTGTAACAGTGAGTGTAACAGTGAATGTATGAGTGAGTGAGTGTAACAGTGAGTGAGTGTAACAGTGAGTGTAAGAGTGAGTGAGTGTAACAGTGAGTGTAACAGTGAGTGTAAGAGTGAGTGAGTGAGTATAACAGTGAGTGTAAGAGTGAGTGTAAGAGTGAGTGTAAGAGTGAGTGTAACAGTGAGTGAGTGTACGAGTGTAACAGTAAGTTGTAGAGTGAGTGTAAGAGTGAGTGTAAGAGTGAGTGTACGAGTGAGTGTAACAGTGAGTGTAACAGTGAGTGTAACAGTGAGTGAGTGTATGAGTGAGTGTAACCGTGAGTAAGTGTAACAGTGAGTGTAACAGTGAGTGAGTGAGTGTAACAGTGAGGGTAACAGTGAGTGAGTGTAAGAGTGTATGAGTAAGTGTATGAGTGTAACAGTGAGTGTAACAGTGAGTGTAAGAGTGAGTGTAAGAGTGAGTGTAACAGTGAGTGAGTGTAACAGTGAGTGAGTGTAACAGTGAGTGTAACAGTGAGTGTAACAGTGAGTGTAAGAGTGTAACAGTGAGTGTAACAGTGAGTGAGTGTAACAGTGAGTGTAACAGTGAGTGTAACAGTGAGTGAGTGTAACAGTAAGTGTAAGAGTGAGTGTACGAGTGAGTGAGTGTAACAGTGAGTGTAACAGTGAGTGTAACAGTGAGTGTAACTGAGTGTACGAGTGAGTGAGTGTATGAGTGAGTGTAACAGTTAGTGAGTAAGTGTAACAGTGAGTGTATGAGTGAGTGTAACAGTTAGTGAGTAAGTGTAACAGTGAGTGTATGAGTGAGTGTAACAGTGAGTGTATGAGTGAGTGTAACAGTTAGTGAGTAAGTGTAACAGTGAGTGTATGAGTGAGTGTAACAGTGAGTGTAACAGTGAGTGTATGAGTGTACGAGTGAGTGTACGAGTGAGTGAGTGAGTGAGTGTAACAGTGAGTGTAACAGTGAGTGTAAGAGTGAGTGAGTGAGTGTATGAGTGAGTGTATGAGTGAGTGTATGAGTGAGTCTATGAGTGTAAGAGTGAGTGTAACAGTGAGTGTAACAGTGAGTATAACAGTGAGTGTAACAGTGAGTGTAACAGTGAGTGTAACAGTGAGTGAGTGTAACAGTGAGTATAACAGTGAGTGTAAGAGTGAGTGTAACAGTGAGTGTAACAGTGAGTATAACAGTGAGTGTAACAGTGAGTGTAACAGTGAGTGAGTGTAACAGTGAGTGTAACAGTGAGTGAGTGTAACAGTGAGTGTAACAGTGAGTGTACGAGTGAGTGAGTGTAACAGTGAGTGTAACAGTGAGTGAGTGTAACAGTGAGTGAGTGTAACTGTGAGTGTAACAGTGAGTGTAACAGTGAGTGTAACAGTGAGTGAGTGTAACAGTGAGTGTAACAGTGAGTGTAACAGTGAGTGTAACAGTGAGTGAGTGTAACAGTGAGTGTAACAGTGAGTGTACGAGTGAGTCAGTGTAACAGTGAGTGTAACAGTGAGTGAGTGTAACAGTGAGTGAGTGTAACAGTGAGTGTAACAGTGAGTGTAACAGTGAGTGAGTGAGTGTAACAGTGAGTGTAACAGTGAGTGTAACAGTGAGTGAGTGTAACAGTGAGTGTAACAGTTAGTGAGTGTAACAGTGAGTGTAACAGTGAGTGTAACAGTGAGTGTGTGAGTGAGTGTATGAGTGAGTGTATGAGTGTATGAGTGAGTGTATGAGTGAGTGTAAGAGTGAGTGTATGAGGGAGTGTATGAGTGAGTGTAAGAGTGAGTGTGTGAGTGAGTGTATGAGTGAGTGTATGAGTGTATGAGTGAGTGTATGAGTGAGTGTAAGAGTGAGTGTATGAGTGAGTGTATGAGTGAGTGTAAGAGTGAGTGTGTGAGTGAGTGTATGAGTGAGTGTAACAGTGAGTGTAACAGTGAGTGTACGAGTGAGTGAGTGTAACAGTGAGTGTAACAGTGAGTGAGTGTAACAGTGAGTGTAACAGTGAGTGTAACAGTGAGTGAGTGTAACAGTGAGTGTAACAGTGAGTGAGTGTATGAGTGAGTGTAACAGTGAGTGTAACAGTGAGTGAGTGTAACAGTGAGTGTAACAGTGAGTGTATGAGTGTAAGAGTGAGTGTAACAGTGAGTGAGTGAGTGAGTGTAACAGTGAGTGTATGAGTGAGTGTATGAGTATAACAGTGAGTGTAACAGTGAGTGTAACAGTGAGTGTAACAGTGAGTGAGTGAGTGTAACAGTGAGTGTAACAGTGAGTGAGTGTAACAGTGAGTGTAACAGTGAGTGTAACAGTGAGTGAGTGTAACAGTGAGTGTAACAGTGAGTGTAACAGTGAGTGAGTGTATGAGTGTAAGAGTGAGTGTAAGAGTGAGTGTAACAGTGAGTGTAACAGTGAGTGTAAGAGTGTAACAGTGAGTGTATGAGTGAGTGTATGAGTGAGTGTATGAATGAGTGTATGAGTAAGTGTAACAGTGAGTGAGTGTAACAGTGAGTGTATGAGTGTAACAGTGAGTGTAACAGTGAGTGTAAGAGTGAGTGAGTGAGTGAGCGTTGCACCTTGTGTCCGTGCGTGTGGCACGAAGCTACAGAGGGTGACGTCACTGGCCCCACCAGACTCGAGCGGGATGGGGAACTCGGTGAAGTGCTCGAGCATGTGAGTGAGTGTAACAGTGAGTGTAACAGTGAGTGTAACAGTGAGTGTAACAGTGAGTGTAACAGTGAGTGTAACAGTGAGTGTAACAGTGAGTGTAACAGTGAGTGAGTGTAACAGTGAGTGTAACAGTGAGTGTAACAGTGTAACAGTGAGTGTAACAGTGAGTGTAACAGTGAGTGTAACAGTGAGTGTAACAGTGAGTGTAACAGTGTAACAGTGAGTGTAACAGTGAGTGTAACAGTGAGTGTAACAGTGAGTGTAACAGTGAGTGTATGAGTGAGTGTAACAGTGTAACAGTGAGTGTATGAGTGAGTGAGTGAGTGTAACAGTGTAACAGTGAGTGTAACAGTGAGTGTAACAGTGAGTGTTGCACCTTGTGTCCGTGCGTGTGGCACGAAGCTACAGAGGGTGACGTCACTGGCCCCGCCAGACTCGAGCGGGATGGGGAACTCGGTGAAGTGCTCGAGCATGTGAGTGAGTGTAACAGTGAGTGTAACAGTGAGTGTAACAGTGAGTGTGTGAGTGTAACAGTGAGTGTAACAGTGAGTGTAACAGTGAGTGTGTGAGTGTAACAGTGAGTGTAACAGTGAGTGAGTGTAACAGTGAGTGAGTGTAACAGTGAGTGTAACAGTGAGTGTAACAGTGAGTGTAACAGTGAGTGAGTGTAACAGTGAGTGAGTGAGTGTAACAGTGAGTGTAACAGTGAGTGTAACAGTGAGTGTAACAGTGAGTGAGTGTAACAGTGAGTGAGTGAGTGTAACAGTGAGTGTAACAGTGAGTGTAACAGTGAGTGTAACAGTGTAACAGTGAGTGTAACAGTGAGTGTAACAGTGAGTGTAACAGTGTAACAGTGAGTGTAACAGTGAGTGTAACAGTGAGTGTAACAGTGAGTGTATGAGTGAGTGTAACAGTGAGTGAGTGTAACAGTGAGTGTAACAGTGAGTGTAACAGTGAGTGAGTGAGTGAGTGTAACAGTGAGTGTAACAGTGAGTGTAACAGTGAGTGAGTGTAACAGTGAGTGAGTGTAACAGTGAGTGTAACAGTGAGTGAGTGTAACAGTGAGTGTAACAGTGAGTGTAACAGTGAGTGTAACAGTGAGTGTAACAGTGAGTGTAACAGTGAGTGTAACAGTGAGTGTAACAGTGAGTGTAACAGTGAGTGTAACAGTGAGTGAGTGTAACAGTGAGTGTAACAGTGAGTGTAACAGTGAGTGTAACAGTGAGTGTAACAGTGAGTGTAACAGTGAGTGTAACAGTGAGTGAGTGTAACAGTGAGTGTAACAGTGAGTGTAACAGTGAGTGTAACAGTGAGTGTAACAGTGAGTGTAACAGTGAGTGAGTGAGCGTTGCACCTTGTGTCCGTGCGTGTGGCACGAAGCTACAGAGGGTGACGTCACTGGCCCCGCCAGACTCGAGCGGGATGGGGAACTCGGTGAAGTGCTCGAGCATGTGAGTGAGTGTAACAGTGAGTGTAACAGTGAGTGTAACAGTGAGTGTGTGAGTGTAACAGTGAGTGTAACAGTGAGTGTAACAGTGAGTGTGTGAGTGTAACAGTGAGTGTAACAGTGAGTGAGTGTAACAGTGAGTGAGTGTAACAGTGAGTGTAACAGTGAGTGTAACAGTGAGTGTAACAGTGAGTGAGTGTAACAGTGAGTGAGTGAGTGTAACAGTGAGTGTAACAGTGAGTGTAACAGTGAGTGTAACAGTGAGTGAGTGTAACAGTGAGTGAGTGAGTGTAACAGTGAGTGTAACAGTGAGTGTAACAGTGAGTGTAACAGTGTAACAGTGAGTGTAACAGTGAGTGTAACAGTGAGTGTAACAGTGTAACAGTGAGTGTAACAGTGAGTGTAACAGTGAGTGTAACAGTGAGTGTATGAGTGAGTGTAACAGTGAGTGAGTGTAACAGTGAGTGTAACAGTGAGTGTAACAGTGAGTGAGTGAGTGAGTGTAACAGTGAGTGTAACAGTGAGTGTAACAGTGAGTGAGTGTAACAGTGAGTGAGTGTAACAGTGAGTGTAACAGTGAGTGAGTGTAACAGTGAGTGTAACAGTGAGTGTAACAGTGAGTGTAACAGTGAGTGTAACAGTGAGTGTAACAGTGAGTGTAACAGTGAGTGTAACAGTGAGTGTAACAGTGAGTGTAACAGTGAGTGAGTGTAACAGTGAGTGTAACAGTGAGTGTAACAGTGAGTGTAACAGTGAGTGTAACAGTGAGTGTAACAGTGAGTGTAACAGTGAGTGAGTGTAACAGTGAGTGTAACAGTGAGTGTAACAGTGAGTGTAACAGTGAGTGTAACAGTGAGTGTAACAGTGAGTGAGTGAGCGTTGCACCTTGTGTCCGTGCGTGTGGCACGAAGCTACAGAGGGTGACGTCACTGGCCCCGCCAGACTCGAGCGGGATGGGGAACTCGGTGAAGTGCTCGAGCATGTGAGTGAGTGTAACAGTGAGTGTAACAGTGAGTGTAACAGTGAGTGTAACAGTGAGTGTAACAGTGAGTGAGTGTAACAGTGAGTGAGTGTAACAGTGAGTGTAACAGTGAGTGTAACAGTGAGTGTAACAGTGAGTGAGTGTAACAGTGAGTGAGTGTAACAGTGAGTGTAACAGTGAGTGAGTGTAACAGTGAGTGTAACAGTGTAACAGTGAGTGTAACAGTGAGTGAGTGTAACAGTGAGTGTAACAGTGAGTGTAACAGTGAGTGTAACAGTGAGTGAGTGTAACAGTGAGTGTAACAGTGAGTGTAACAGTGAGTGTAACAGTGAGTGAGTGTAACAGTGAGTGTAACAGTGAGTGTAACAGTGAGTGTAACAGTGTAACAGTGAGTGTAACAGTGAGTGTAACAGTGAGTGTAACAGTGAGTGTAACAGTGAGTGTAACAGTGAGTGTAACAGTGAGCGTTGCACCTTGTGTCCGTGCGTGTGGCACGAAGCTACAGAGGGTGACGTCACTGGCCCCACCAGACTCGAGCGGGATGGGGAACTCGGTGAAGTGCTCAAGCATGTGAGTGAGTGTAACAGTGTAACAGTGAGTGTAACAGTGAGTGTAACAGTGAGTGTAACAGTGAGTGAGTGTATGAGTGTAAGAGTGAGTGTAAGAGTGAGTGTAACAGTGAGTGTAACAGTGAGTGTAAGAGTGTAACAGTGAGTGTATGAGTGAGTGTATGAGTGAGTGTATGAGTGAGTGTATGAATGAGTGTATGAGTAAGTGTAACAGTGAGTGAGTGTAACAGTGAGTGTATGAGTGTAACAGTGAGTGTAACAGTGAGTGTAACAGTGAGTGTAACAGTGAGTGTAACAGTGAGTGTAACAGTGAGTGTAACAGTGAGTGAGTGAGTGAGCGTTGCACCTTGTGTCCGTGCGTGTGGCACGAAGCTACAGAGGGTGACGTCACTGGCCCCACCAGACTCGAGCGGGATGGGGAACTCGGTGAAGTGCTCGAGCATGTGAGTGAGTGTAACAGTGAGTGTAACAGTGAGTGTAACAGTGAGTGTAACAGTGAGTGTAACAGTGAGTGTATGAGTAAGTGAGTGAGTGTTGCACCTTGTGTCCGTGCGTGTGGCACGAAGCTACAGAGGGTGACGTCACTGGCCCCGCCAGACTCGAGCGGGATGGGGAACTCGGTGAAGTGCTCGAGCATGTGAGTGAGTGTAACAGTGAGTGTAACAGTGAGTGTAACAGTGAGTGTAACAGTGAGTGTAACAGTGAGTGAGTGAGTGAGTGTATGAGTGAGTGTATGAGTGTAACAGTGAGTGTAACAGTGAGTGTAACAGTGTAACAGTGAGTGTAACAGTGAGTGTAACAGTGAGTGTGACAGTGAGTGTAACAGTGAGTGTATGAGTGTAACAGTGAGTGTAACAGTGAGCGTTGCACCTTGTGTCCGTGCGTGTGGCACGAAGCTACAGAGGGTGACGTCACTGGCCCCACCAGACTCGAGCGGGATGGGGAACTCGGTGAAGTGCTCGAGCATGTGAGTGAGTGTAACAGTGAGTGTAACAGTGAGTGTAACAGTGAGTGTAACAGTGAGTGAGTGTAACAGTGAGTGAGTGTAACAGTGAGTGTAACAGTGAGTGTAACAGTGAGTGTAACAGTGAGTGAGTGTAACAGTGAGTGAGTGTAACAGTGAGTGTAACAGTGAGTGTAACAGTGAGTGTAACAGTGAGTGAGTGTAACAGTGAGTGTAACAGTGAGTGAGTGAGTGAGTGTAAGAGTGAGTGAGTGAGTGTTGCACCTTGTGTCCGTGCGTGTGGCACGAAGCTACAGAGGGTGACGTCACTGGCCCCACCAGACTCGAGCGGGATGGGGAACTCGGTGAAGTGCTCGAGCATGTGAGTGAGTGTAACAGTGAGTGTAACAGTGAGTGTAACAGTGAGTGTAACAGTGAGTGTAACAGTGAGTGTAACAGTGAGTGTATCAGTGAGTGTAACAGTGAGTGTAACAGTGAGTGAGTGTATGAGTGAGTGTAACAGTGAGTGTAACAGTGAGTGTAACAGTGAGTGAGTGTATGAGTGAGTGTATGAGTGTAAGAGTGAGTGTAAGAGTGAGTGAGTGTGTATGAGTGAGTGTAACAGTGAGTGTATGAGTGAGTGTATGAGTGAGTGTATGAGTGTAACAGTGAGTGAGTGAGTGTAAGAGTGAGTCTATGAGTGTAACAGTGAGTGAGTGAGTGTATGAGTGAGTGTATGAGTGTAACAGTGAGTGAGTGTATGAGTGAGTGTATGAGTGTAACAGTGAGTGAGTGAGTGTAACAGTGAGTGTAACAGTGAGTGTAACAGTGCGTGTAACAGTGAGTGAGTGAGTGTAACAGTGAGTGTAACAGTGAGTGTAACAGTGAGTGTAACAGTGAGTGAGTGTAAGAGTGAGTATAACAGTGAGTGTAACAGTGAGTGAGTGAGTGTATGAGTGTAACAGTGAGTGTAAGAGTGAGTGTGTGAGTGTAACAGTGAGTGTAACAGTGAGTGTAACAGTGAGTGAGTGTAACAGTGTAACAGTGAGTGTAAGAGTGAGTGTGTGAGTGTAACAGTGAGTGTAACAGTGAGTGAGTGAGTGTATGAGTGAGTGTATGA